TTTATTTCCTAATGTCTTTATATGAGGCTGACGTCTCACCTGCTCTCTGGATGGAGTCGGTGTGGATTCGCCCTGGAGTGTCATATTTAGTGTGATAGATGAAACCGTTCTCTATGAACGCAAGATCAATTCCTGCAGAATGAGACGAAGAAGATTTGCACTTAAGAAAGTCTTAAACATGATCTGACAGTCTCAGTCAACACTCCTGGTTTACTCATTAGCAATATCAGCAATACATCACTTAATGAAATATGTTTTTACTGTAAATATGCTTTTAATCTGTAAAACTTGTTAATTCTGTATTGTTGTATGGTAAAGTTCTGGCAACCACAGCTACCATGTTTTTTACCCTAATTTTACTTTTTTTTACAGTGTGTATCTCATACCAGGAATATTCCCAAAGTCCCTGAAGATGCGGAAGTCTGTGTCTGAAGGAATGAGTCTGCTCTGAAAAATCTCCTGACCAACCACTGTGGCAAACGGGTGTACTGCGGCTCGGGCGTAAGCCTGGACCAGCCACGGGTTCTCCGGACCTCAAACACACACACGCATGAAAGACACGTGATATAATTTGACCAGTCAAAGTCATCTAGCAGGCAGGCACTGCTGTAGTTTTAACACTATTATGAGGACATAAAAAATCACAATCTCTACGATTCGCTTGAAAAGTAGATCGTGGACGTCTTCAAGATCGATCACGATATAAAATCGTCAGACTGCCCACCCTACTCCCAGTTTCTCAAGGCTATGTGAATTCTGGGGCGAATGAATATAAGAAATATCTTGATTTTGAATTGTTTCAGCTGACTGTCATGCTTATATTGTCTTCTGGAGGCGACTGGTTGAGAAGCGCTGGTTTAGTGTGAGTAAATGATGACAGGATGATTTCTTCCTTTAACTCTGGCGCTTGTTCTGCCAGAAACAGAGCAGATTTCTTCTGCCGCAGGTGTTGAGCTCAGATACACACCTGTCTGAAACACCAGCTCTTTCCCTCCCGCTCCTGCCGCCTCCAGGTTCACAAACGCTCGCACCTGCTGAGCCCAGGGATGCTGGGTTATGAAGCCGTGACTGGCCTGAGATAGATGGAGATCAAACTCGACCTCTACACGCATGAGTGTATGTGTGTGTGTGTGTGTGTGTGCATGTGTGTGTGTGTGTGTGTGAGTGATTGTGGCAAACACACAGTGAGACCATGAATAATGTCAGTGATATGAGCGATTCACATCAAACCGGCTGAACACATTTCAATGAGACGATCACATGCTCGCTGAGGTCAAAGGTCAGCTGTGCTGTGACCTCTCACCTGCAGGATGGTCTCCTCGGCCCCGTTGAACAGGAAGATGACGCCGTGTTTGAGAGGCGTGGAGA